TGCAGAAAAAATAATTTATATATCACAGGTCATGACAATCTAACATGGTATCCGTTCATTCGTCCGCTTAAGTGGTTACCAGGGCAACGCCAGACTGATGTAGACCTCCATCTGCTGACATAGTAGGGGCTTTCCGCGCTTGATTGCTATGGCCTCTGCAAATCTTAGCAGCCGTTCATTCGGGGCTGTGTAAACAATCAGAAATGAGATGCAACGAAATGATTCCGGAATTAAATCGTGCCCACTTGTTATGTTGTGTTCTTTGTTCAAGTGTAGTACCAGTCCAATGCAAATTCCTCTCATTTTGACAAGCAATATTCGTTTTTTGTTGGGGTAAGTCGAGGAGGTAGTAGACTTTACACGGAAAAAGGAGTACAAAAACCTAGGAATTACTATGCTACAGGAATGCTTCTGAAAGCTTCAGTATGGTCGGGGGTGGATTTCGATGGTTGCGGCTGATCATCCCTCCCTTGCACTTAGCGAAATGCTCCCATACGATCAAGCATCTCAAATATCCTCTGCTGAGGAAGCCCGATTCAATGCCTTCTTGTGGCGGCGTTTTAGCACCGAAGTGGGAGGAAGAATAACCGACATCTGAGGCTAAAACCGAGTTGGTGGACTACTGGTAGTTCACTTAAGGGAGTTAGCCGAAAACCCTGATTCCAAACCAACCAAGAGGTGTAGGAATCACACCCACACCTTTTCGGTTTTGGCAGTGGCCACCGGCTCAATTGGACATCTAGGTGTATTGGGCATCTCGGACGTTTGTTCCCGTCCGAAGGGTGTATGATCCGATGAACTGGACACCGGCTCCCAATGGATTGCAGTTTTCTCACACCGCCCCAGTGCCTTGTGGGTCAGGTTTTGGATAACCTAAGGCTCCGGCTGTGGAACCCTTAAAAAAATTCACCTGCCTTGGCCTGGAAAATCTGGCAGTATTCAGCCCACAAGCCAATCATGGAACGTTTTTCTTTTTTATTAAGATTATTGTACCATGATTTGATTGGCGCACAGTCTGGCCTCAGACAAGTATGAAAGATAATAATATAACAACGCTACAAGAATCCTGGCTGTACGAAGAAATCGGCAGTGAAATTGTACAACTAAATGGCTACAATTTGTATCGGGTTGACCGTACCGCGAGTGTCCGTAAACGAAGCGGTGTTGCAAGTTACGTTAGCGACAACTGGAGTCATCCACGAATACTCAACGGATAAAATCAGTTGTCACGTCACCAAATGTAAGCCCCGTTTTTTGAGTGGATTTCGTTCAGTACTTCTTGGAAACTTTTACCTGTCACTCACAAGATCAGTGGCTGACATGAACAGCTTTTCTGACATTTTTTCTACGTTCATAATATATCAAAAACAAGTGACTTTGTGTATATTTTTTAACAGACCTGATATGAAATTCTTCACCACATTGGGTCTACAGAATTTGGTGAAATTTCCTGGAGGTATGTGAGAATTCCACTGCCAAGATACTCTCAGACACTCACGACCCATTACACAACGGATTTTCAAAAGTTGTATCTACATCATCCACACGCTCAAGATTTAAACTCTTATTTGCACGTACCTCTTCTCATCGTAGATCTGTTTTGCCATATCTAGCACGTCTACTTATTGACAAGGATTGCGCAAATGCTTGCTTCATTGACAAACACAATCTACTGCTTTCAGTTTCAGATTTCCCAACCTCTGTTTAACTCTATCTTTCCTACCCAACCCTTTCCGTTTATCCCTTCTTCAAACCCGTAACATTCCCTCAGACAACTTGTTCGTCACTTGCCAAAGTTCGCTGCCAAGTAGCCCGATAAGTAGCTTTCCCAAAAAATAGATTGCAGATTCTGAAGCCCCGTCAAACACTGAATCTGGGGGCCTTCAACGTGAGGACCCTGATTCAGGTAGGTCAACAAGCGGGTCTGGCGCGTACAATGGACTCCTTGGGGATTGATGTCTGCTGTGTGTCGAATCCAGGATCCTAGTACTACATGTCACTTAAGTGTACCGGGGTTGTCTTCGAGGTTCTTCCTCCGCAAGTCAGGTCATGACGAAGCCCGTTCTGTAGGCCAGTGTAGCGTGGGCATTGCACTCAATAAAACAGCCGAAGCCGAACTACTCGATTGGATCTCCCTCAACAGCCACTTATGTGCGATGCGACTCCAAGGTTCTGTCAGCGTCCGCAAGGGAAGCAACAACAAAAGATGTTTATTCGTCATTTCAGCGTATGCTCCGACCAACTGCAGTTCTGACGCACAAAAGGACGAGTTTTATGATAACCTCACCGAACTCATTCGGTTGATCAGAAGATCCGATATAGTAGTTCCCTCAGGTGACTTTAACGCCCAAGTTGGAAAACTGAGTGCATCGGAAGCTGGCGTAACGGGTCATTGGGCTCTGCCTTGCGAACAGATAATGGCGATCGACTTCTTCAGTTCTCCGCAGATCATCACCTGTTCCCATCCAGTACCAACTTCCAACACAGCTCTCAACGGACAGTAACGTGGCGCTCAAATTCAACAGGCACACCAACTCAAATGGACCACATAGCAGTAAGCTACCGTTGGCGAGGCTCAGTACGAAACTGCGGGTCCTATTGGACCATGTGCATCGAATCTGATCATGCGTCAGTTTTGATGCAGTTCACTCTCCAACTCACTGGTGGTCGAAAATCCCACCAAACTCCATTGGCAGATCATCGCTTATCTGACCAAGCCGTGCGTGCCCGTTTTTA